TCATAGTTTTGATGCCTTCAGTGAGAATCTACAATGTAAATAGTCATGAAAATAAAGAAAACGCATTGAATGAGAAGGTGTGTCCAAACTTTTGGCCTGTACTGTATGTGGTCACTTTGTAAATACAGTATGTCTCACAAATGCCTTGTCTGTCAGTTAAATGTATTATGTAACTCTATCTAATTTAACACTGGTCTAATAACACAGCAACGTCATGTGGGTGCAGTTGCTGATGGACACATTTTTGATTAATGTTGCATCTGATGAAAGTCTTTGAAGGTGTATCTTCCATTTCCACAGTATTCTCTTTCTGTTCTCCAACATTAAACCCGTCTTTGTCAAATTTTCTTTTAGACAAATTGAGAATCTATGCTGTGCAGACAGAAATCTGTTTAAACGGTCATATTATGGGGGCGTATCTTACATTTGAGGACAAATGCGTGGTCCCCACAAAGAAAATGATTAAAATTTCTGATTAAGAACTGATATATTGTTAAGGTTTGGGATGGGACTAGGCATGGAGTTTGTGATGTTTTTCACAAAGTGGTCATATTAATTTTTAAATCCATTCTTTTTTTAATATGAAAGTGATTCTTTGTACTTAAATAATAAAGTAATAATGCAAAAATACATCTCCTGTGTTTTTATTTGTTTTATGTTTCAATTACAAGAACACTTGTGCCAAAGTTAAAATATTGCATTTTGCTTTATTATCTGTTGAAATCCTGTGTATGGTTCGCTGTTTTGTACACAGTAACAAAGTCTCACATATTACGTTGTATGCTCCGTGTGCAAGTGTGTGTGAGTCCATACACCCATCAGACCAATCACGAGCTGTGCCATTGATTGCAAACACACCGATTTGCACACACAACTGTTGATTAGGGTCATCAAACACCCTTTTAAAGCATCAAATAACTAATTACAACCAAACTTATCCTAAAAACAACAACTTGAACATACATCAGTGTCATAAGAACTCCCTGAAATAACAGAAACTATCTTTGGGAAAGATTTATTTGATGTGTACTTTGGGTTTTGTAGTTTGGCTCATATATCCCATCTGCTAACATGGAGAGGGTGGGGTCTACGACATGTACTGCAGCCAGCCACCAGGGGGCAATCAAGATGTTTTGGCTTCACTTTGGGGGAGCTGACATGTTGTCCATTTTTATTGCATAGTTTATGGTATAAAAGAGTGATTCCTTTTACTTTAATAATTCAGTAGTAATGCTACAGGTTGCACCAAAAAATGTGTCTCGTGTTTTTGCTTTAATTTAAGTAACGCATCACAAAAATAAGAAATTGTGAACCCTGGGATGATTTTTCATAAGAACATTGCTGGTGCTTTTTTTTTTTTTTTTTTAAAGTTAGTGCATTTCATTTCCATGTGCCCTAGCACACTTACTGTTTGTGCTATTGTGGCTGAAGTGTCAGTCACTCCTACTAATATAATAATTGAAGTTAAAATATTGCATTTAGCTTTATTATCTGTTTAAATCCTGTATAAAATTGTTTCTCTGTTTCCTGTGTATGGTTTCCTGTTTTGTACACAATAACAAAATCTCACTCATTACGCTGTATGCTCTGTGTGCAAGTGTGTGTGAGTGAGTGTGTGTCTTTGCTCAAAGAAAACGGAGGGGATGCAACCTTTGAAAGAGTAAGAGGAAAGGGAAGTGAGGGGGAAGTGCAAAGACTGTGGCTGGACTGACCCTATGATTCCCGTTCACTTGCTTTCTTGTTCGTTACCAGTCAATATCACAATGAAAACAATCTATGCGTACTCTTGTCTTCTTTTAGGTGAGTGTATTTATTTTTCCTGCATTCTCTGTATTTGCATCTACTGCAGCTGGTGTTTAAATACTGTGGCTGTTGAATGACATACTTTATGTTTATTTTGCTAAATGAGTCATTTAGTCAAAGTCTTGCCATCACCAATAATCAGATAAGTAATAATGTACATATTTAAAGTGATTTCTGCATTAATACTATGATAATGACAAAGTCTTTCCTTTATTTCCACTTGTAGCTCTGAGTTTTGTGGAGATGAAGCCTCTCAGCATAACTGGCCATGTTGGGAGGAATGTGACAATCGAATGCTCAGACTGGGACTCTGTGACTGATGTAAAATATAATGTTAAGTACTTTTGTGACAGTCCATGCACAGAAGACAAACACATCATCATCAAAGCAGAATCTGGAAAGACTACATATTAAAAGGTCAATCTTAAAGTTACAAAAGGTAAGTTAATGTTCTTCATTTTTTCTATTGAAACAATACCACTCCTTTGTCAGAAAGTAAAAACTGTTCTACATAATGTTCCATTAACACTGTATCTATGACTTTCAGCTGAGTCTTACAGTGCCAAGACAACTCCAAAAAAAGTCACTGGTGGTTACAGTTTCTCAATCGCTGTAACAAGCAGCTCCATCACGTCACGAACGACCTTTAACACAATGTTACCTATACCTACACAAGGAGCCGGTATGAAGTGCACTTATCTGAAGCTGATATCTATGTTGCATTATTAATTGAAAATAAATTGCAGAGTGTAAATAATACGTCCAGTGTTATTGCATCTCTTACATTGTCAAGGTGTTGAGACATAAACTAAAAAATATGCTAAATGACAAATGAAAAATGGATTTAACCAAAGTAAATAAAAGTCCTCAACAGTGTTACAAAATCTTGATACAAAGAGGTGCTCTAGTAAACACACCACAAGGGGCCTTTAACAACTACAAATTTACGACAGTAAATTTCAGACAACTATAGAAAAAATAAAGTAAACATTTGTTTATGGTCTCAACTTTAGAGAAAACAATACCAATGACCAATCAAACAAGAAAAAACACAAGGCAGACTGTGATCAAATATGTTTTTTGTGTTAAATAAAAAGCAGAATGTCTCAAATGTTTTGAAATTATGCTTAAATGAACCCATGTTTAAATACCCATCCACTGCTAAAAGCATCTCTTTATTGACAATGTGCTTATCCCTAAATCTTGATACCTTAACATTTGAATTTATTGTTGTAGTATTCACTTATCAAGACTTGTGGATGTGAGGAGATGAACCTATTAATCTTGTTTCCTTTTCTCTCTTTGGTCAGGATATGTACCGTATTTGACTGCAGGTGTGGCTTCGATAATAACCATAGTGATGGTCGTACTGATTCTTGCCCGGAAGATGATGAAGAAACAACAGGGTAAGACACAAACCAACTGTGTACAACAGTGGTTCTGGTAATATTATATATTTTGCTCCCCAGATAAAGTTCTAAATCTAAATACGTCATAATATACAATGCACAATTATATGACTTTTAAAGTCAGTTAAGGTCAGGTTCTCTAAAAATACTTGAAGACATGAGGGACTGAGATTAGCCAGCCCAGTCGCCAGAATAAAATGTTGGCATTGTACATTTCTGCAAACCAAGCAAATGTTACATTTGCATATTTTATGCATATGACATAACCCAGGTTATATGTATATCAGAGGATGATGGATGGTGTGAAACCCATAGGTGAGGCAGCTGCCAAGCAGCAGACAGCAGCAGCTCAAAACCAACAAAATGTGAGAGTTGTTTAACAACAATTTAGGACATTTCCAGCTGTGTTAGTAGCGACCAAACTGGATATTTTGAGGCCAAACATGATGTTTTGCTAACCCTAACCAACTGGTTTTGTGCCTTAACAGTACTTGTACAGTACATACAGTATTTGTACTCCAGTGTTGTCACAACATAATATTGGAAAATGAAATAGTAAGAGACATAAAGTTTTAATGTATTCCCTATGTGAAACATGTAACATATCTGTGGTTTGTACAAAGCCAACATTTATTCTGGGTTAGTTTAGCAAAAAACACAGTTTTATTGAAATGTATGGTTGTATTGTACATGCAGTCTTGCAGTCATCTTTATCTCCTCTAGTCTGCACACACACACACACACACACACACACACACACACACACACACTATGTGATATGTGGATACATTTCACTAGAGTTGATGATAATATTGTCCATTCTGTGCTGAATATCCTCTATTACATTATCATCCAGTGACTATTATTTTGGCCAGTCAGATTAAAAAAAATGTATTTTTTCAGCAGCTGTTAGCACCCCACCAGAGGATACAGTGGAGGTGAGTTTTTTTTTTTCCATTTTGAGTCTTAAACCATGTGTGGGTCTGATCTGTTGAATCTCTCACAGCAATGGCATGCTTAATTTGGGACCAGTCTAATAACATAACTCAAACATGTTATGTTCACCCAGAGGGCCGGTCCTGATCAAGTCTACCAATCACTCCACCAGTTCACGATGGATGAAGACAAAGTCTACAGCACTCTCACACCCTCCAAAAGTGAACAACACTGCACACAGCTTTGTCACAACGTTGACTGATCACTGCAGCAGGAGCTATTGCATCACTATCATATGGCAGAATGTTGAAAGATACATATGTTCTCACTCTGGCCTGCAGCTACTAACTTACTGCTATTTTGGTTCTCTTTACAAATATGTGGTCACTTTGTAAATACAGTATGTCTCACAAATGCCTTGTCTGTCAGTTAAATGTATTATGTAACTCTCTCTATATTTAATACTAGTTTAATAACACAGCAACGTCATGTGGGTGCAGTTGCTGATGGACACATTTTTGATTAATGTTGCATCTGATGAAAGTCTTTGAAGGTGTATCTTCCATTTCCACAGTATTCTCTTTCTGTTCTCCAACATTAAACTCTTCTTTGTCTCCTCTAGAGTTGATGGCAGTGGATACAAGCAGTGACTCATAGATCTGGATTCATTCAAATGAACACACAAGTATGCATACTTGTTCTGCATACATGTTTTGTACATGAAATTAAGAATCCCTCCGCCCTCCGTCCCTCGCACTTTTTACAGCCGTTACAACGGTTCAATTCGCTTTTAACATGTGGTGACATGTTTTTCCGAGCCGTCTTTAAACGCACCATACGCGCCAGACACATGCTGTGGTATTGTGATCTGAATCAAGGGTACAGACAAGACGTGTGCTGCAGGGCAGTGCAGCAAAACTGCCAGCAAGAAGCAAAAAACCCTGCACAGTTTCTTCCAAACAAACGGTGTAAGCTGAGTAATGCTGTTGCATGTAGATAATGTTAGCTAAGTGATGACAAATTAATAGATGCCAATAAATCAAGTTAAGCTAGTTAACAAGAACACTAATATTATTGTTACCTATGTTAAATCACTTGCTAGCTAGTTTCATGTTAGGAAAAAACCCACTCCTCCTTAATATCTGCGCAGAACTTGTGCTCACTATTGTATTGCTCATGTTTTTTTAATCTTTATTGCCACAATAGAAAGAGCACGGTCAGGGAGGAGACAGTGGACCAGAGGCCAGCAAGGATGATCATGCAGGGTTCTTATAGGTGAGGAGACATTATAACTGGCTGAGAGAAAATATCTATAGCATAAAAGTGACTATGAGGTTAATTTTCACAGCTATGTCACCACTACTATTCCAAATTCCATTTATGAATTTTGCTTTGCACATTTATTATCTATATTATTGCAATAGATAGAAGAGGGACAGAGAGAAGCCAGGCAGGTATCAGGACAGGGACCTGACAGCAGCACCAGTTATCAGCCCAAGGCTTCACAGATTAGGAGAAATTATAACTGGCTAAGGAAATGTCTATAGGATAAGAGTGACTCTAAAATTAATTTTCACAGCTATTTCAGAACTACTCTTATTTATAATCTAAAATGTTTTTGTCTGTATTGCAATAGGTAGCACAGGGAGAAGGCTTAAAAATATTTGATTAATTTTGCACATCTGTGCTGTCATATTTGACTAAAATGTAAAATATATCTTGATTCTGATATGTTTAGTGTTGTGTCATTTTCTGTCTTCATGCCATTAAATTAAATTATGTGGCTTATTACCCTGTTAACTTGTCACTTCCATTCCATTTTGTGTGCTAATAAGTTTCTAACAGGAATGGTGTTTTACTGATTTTTTTATGTTCAGTGTTGTCATTTGACACTTAATTATCTGGCTACTTACCCTGTAGATGCTCCAGGGTCATTTTCTGTCAACTCAACAAGAGTTTGGCAGCTAAAACTTTAGATTTTGATCGTATATAATTTTAAAGAACTAAAGTAGGTCCCCTGGTGCTGTACTGTGGCTGTTTGTGGTTATGTGGTTCTTTAGCCGCCAAGGAAAAGTGCAATTGAATGCGAGAGGATGATAAATCACTCAATAGACCTCTGAACAATTTGTCCCCCTCACTTCTGAAATGATGGCTATGCCCCTGATTCTTTGTACTTGAATAAAAAAAGTAATAATGCTAAAAAAAAAATGTGTCTCGTGTTTTTTTTTGTTTTCTGTTTCAATTACACATCGCAACATTCAGGCTTTGCTTCCATGTGGCCATGCACACTAATGCCATCGTGGTTTTCAAGTGTCTCATTCGCACACACTAACATTATAACTGAAGTTGAAATATTGCACTTTGCTTTATTGTCTGTTTAAATCCTGAATAAAAAATGTTTCCCTGTGTATGCTTTGCTGTTTTGTGCACACTAACAAAGTCTCACACATTACGCTGTATGCAAGTGTGTGTCTTTGCTCAAAGAAAAGGGAGGAGCTGCAACCTTCGAAAGGGTGAGAGGAAAGGGAAGTGAGGGGGAACTGAAGACTGTGGCTGGACTGAC